AACGCACTGGATAGCTGGCCAATCACAGCACACCTCGCTTTTTCAGACCGATGAGCTTTGTAAAAATCGACGCGTTTCAGAAAGGCGGGGCATAGAGGAGAAACAATAATGTACAGTATGTGGAAAATAATGTGTTTTTTGAACTTTAAACCGCATAAACACATTTCATTACACCAAATACACAAAATAATGTTCTTTTTAGCAGCATCATATGACCCCTTTAATGTGCTGTAAAACAACATGAACATGAACATTTTTATTAACTAACATTAACAAATATAAATAAATGCTATAAATATATACTGTCTATTGTTAGTTCATGTTAGTTAATGCACTAACAAATTTTAACAAATTAGACTTTATTGTAAAGTGTTACTCAACAAAGAGATTAATAATGCTACAAATAGATTTTTATTTAAAATAAATGCTGTCCTTTTAAACTTTTAATTTATCAAAGAATACTGAAAAATCTGAAGGATCATGTGACACTGAAGACTGAAGTAATGGCTGCTGAAAATTCAGATTTGCCATCACAGGAATACTTTTTTTTTTTTTGCACATTTATTTGATCAAATATCATACAGACTTAAGCATTAGAGATTTCTTTCAAGAACATAAAACAATCTACACATTTTTTTAAAAGAAGCAAAGAGAGAAATTGATACAAATGGACAGATATGAGACATTAGATGCTTGAGTCTCACACCTCTTTGCATGCTTTTACACTGACATAAATACATTTCTAGCCGATACAGTACTTATTTTTATGTATGGATGATAACAAGGTAATGGCTGATATTAGAATTCTATACTACTTCTTCAAAAAACAAAACAAAACAAAACAACAACAAAAACACTACAATAAATAAAAGCAATATATTTTTAAATGCTACAAGTGAATTTAGGCCTCACGACATAATGTACAATATGTACAAAATACACAAAATTTTTAATTAATTTGGATATTTGCTAAAGATTGCATTTAACTGCTAAATTAACTAGAAAAGTGAAAAAGTGAGAGGGAGAACAAATTTATAACTACTAAATGCAAACTACATTACTACACTGTCCTAGCACACAGTTCCAAACAAATTCCTAAGGAAATGAGGCCAAAATCTATATATTACCACAGAACGTATAAGAGAAACACAAAATAAGTAATGTTTGAAAGTGCTATATAAATAAATGCCAGTAATCCACAGCATTCCCCAAGTCAGCTTTCTTCATCAAATTTCCAGCTCGGTTTTTAGAGGCAGTCATGTTTGAGACTAAACCTCTTATCACGTACAAACGAGCCATCTTAGAATAATCCCCACAAGCCTCTAATGGAGGCAATAAAATCTAGAGAGGAAGGGATCATACTCTAAATGACTTCCTATTATTCCCGTTATGGTGCTAATCAATTATTAATCAGATGCCCAGATGAGTTGTGACTCTGCCACCTACACTGATGCGTGTCTGGGTGGGTTATATCAGCGCTGGCAGAGTCAGGGAGTGTTTCAGAGGATGCCGAGGAGATCCATCAATCTCTGACCACACTTCCTGATATATTGATTGTCAGCGAGCCGCAGTGCCCACGTCTGCGTCAGTCTGTGGATGTTCATCATCATACGGCTGGCTCACTCGGTTAGCACACTTACAGTAAATGGGGCACTAAAGTAAAGCTTTTTCTGACTTACATTTTTATTTTAGTGCTGTCAAATCGATTAATAGCGATTAATCGCATCCAAAATAAAAGTTTGTTTACATAATATTTGTGTGTGTACTGTGTATACTTATACACTACCAGTCAAAAGTTTTTGGACAGCAAGATTTTCAAAGAATTCTCTTTTGCTCACCAAGCCTGCATTTATTACTGTCCAACACTTTTGACTGGTAGTGTATGTATATAAATACACATACATTCATGTATATATTTAAAGGAGTAGTTCACTTCCAGAACAAAAATTTACAGATAATGTACTCACCCCCTTGTCATCCAAGATGTTCATGTCTTTCTTTCTTCAGTTGTAAAGAAATTATGTTTTTAATATTTTCTCCATATAGTGGACTTCTATGGTGCCCGCGAGTTTGAACGTCCAAAATGCAATTTCAATGCAGTTTCAAAGGGCTCTAAACGATCCCAGCCGAGGAAGAAGGGTCTTATCTTATCTTTTGACATATCATCAGACAACGTGGAATTTTTTGCCCAACCGTATTTATTTGACATCACGCACCGAATGTCGTGAACGCGCTCAGGACAGTTGGACATTGCGGTGGATCAGAGGTAAAAAATTATATAAATACTGTTCAGTTTCTTGCACAGACCGATCGTTTTGTGACCTCAATGTATCGTCACGAGCCACAGGGTTTAATTTGGTTTTGTCTGTGCATGTTTTTTTTTTACTCTCAAAGCCGTTGAGCCCATTGACTGCCATTCTAAGACTGATAGACTGCAACGGTTTGAGTTAAAAATCTTCATTTATGTTCTATTGAAGAAACAAAGTCATCTACATCTTGGATGCCCTGGGGGTAAGCAGATAAACATCAAATTTTTCATTTTTAAAACTATCCCTTTAAGAGATATCATATATATTATGTAAACAAAAGCTTTTATTTTGGATGCGCTTAATCACGATTAATCGAGTTGACAGCTCTAATTTATTTTTATTTATTTATTGAGTATATAACATTAGGAGCCCTGGGTCACTGAACATTTATTTAAAAATTTGTATAATTATAATAATAAATATTTAATAACAAATTATGTTCATTAAATATTATTTTTTATTCATTTTGTAAGTATATAACCTTCACTGTACCAGTAAGTAGTCTGCTTATTCCTCCAAGGTTTTCTTAGAGGAACCCTGGGTTAATTGAAAAGCATTAAAAAATGTTTCAGCAAACGATAAAGTGCACATTTTCCGGTCTGATGCTTGTACCAAAGGTGGATCTCAGCGACAGACTCTGCATCATTTTTCCCGTTTGAGACAGAACACAAACAAACGACCTGTCTGTGACAACAGACCCGCTTTAGCGTGACATGTTTCAATTCATTAACTTCAGCACAGTCTCCTCATTCATTTCTACCCAGCGCTCTTCTGTCCTCTCCAGCAAAAATGAGTTTAGCATGCGCTCGTGGCTCTCGGGGTGGGCCACGCTCATTACTTCAACTGTCTGAGCCACTTGTAGGAAAAAGACAAAAAGAACGAGGAAGAGCAGGACATAAGTAGAGAGACAGTAAGTGAGTGAATGAGAAAGAGATCAAGGGAAAAAAATAATGAGAATGAAACTGAGCAAAAGCGAATAAATCACTGACTCTTATCTTTGCACAGTGAGAGCTGAGTGAAACCTCCTACCAGAGAAAAGACCAATCCTAACTTTTAATGGCATTTCTTTTGCTTCTGTCTTGCCAATTCACTCAGAGCTCTCCCAAGATTGACAAGCACCAAGAAAGAGTGGACCAACCTGCAACTGTGGGAATCGTTTTGCAATTAGTTGCTCTGCTGTGAAGCTTTTCTACCTGGGAACGATCTGGCTTGCAGCACAGCATCCACGGATGGGCTTATCGACTCATTGATCGGGCTATTTTACACCCGGTGACGTCTGAGCTATTCATGCATTAAGAACCTCCGCCAGCTGGCATAAACACACACACAATCATATTTCTGAGACTGAGTGCATCTTAAATAGATGAAACTTTCTTACAGCCACAGATAATTGAGTGACAAAAGCTGGACAAAGTTTGCAATGCAACAAACTAGCAATAGTACTGGGTGGATTATTACACAGTTACATAGTAATAGTTCATTTTTCTTTTGACGAAAATATTTCTAAAATTGTCAGTATTTCATGTCATATGTCATATTTTAACAAAATGATATCATTTTTAGTTTTTCATTTTAAATAAAAATATAATTTTAACTGACAATGTGTAAAAATATATAATATACTGAAAGTTAAAATAAAAAAAAATGCATAAACATTTAAACATATGAATAAGAATAAACGGAGAAAACATGTAAAAAAAAAAAAAAGGAAAAAAAAAAACTGAAGAATATACATATAAACATACCAAACATGTTACATATCAACATAAACAAAATATAAACCCAAGAAACTGTCATCTGCTTTTGATATAAAAAATAAAGTCATACAATTCACTGGCTTTAAATTCAAGCTTATCATATTTTCATTTTTATTATTAATGAAAAAACCTTAAATGTTAAATAAAATGTATTATCTCCCTTTAAATGTGAAGTATGAACATGGACATGAACCTGATAATAATTGTAATATAATAATTTAAATAGCAATTCAGTGCTGAAACTAGATTAGGTCCCGACTGGTTCGTGCTGGTAGACCAGACAGACAATGTTGTTCATCATCAAAACTTGCTGATCGTAAAGGAAGGTCTTTATAGTGAAGCAGGTTGACCAAGACAGCCAAGAAGACCAGTTAGCAAATAACACACATGCTGGTGTTTGGAGCAGTGAATTTAAATGCAAGAATCTGTAAAGTCTGTAAAATGTCAGTAACATCAAGCTATTTCTTATACAGTATATCTGCAATGCAAAGAGCTCTGTTGTGCTTTAGATCAATAAGTCGCGAGTATAGGAAAAGTGGTGTGATTGAACACATCCTAACAGTGCTTGTGAATGTTAAGCATTCAGGCGCAGGCGGGGTGGACTCTCTCACACTGTTGGCAGGAGAACAGGGTCTTACCTCTGGGGGTTTGGCTCATTGTGTTTGTCTCTCTCATGCTTGATCATCCTGTAGCGGCCGATTCTCACGTCGGGCCGAGACACTTTCATCCCATTTAGTGTGATTCTGAGAACAATAGAGAAAACTTATGGTTAGCGTGTATGAGTTTTCATATCAACTGACTGATTGGCTTCACACAGTCACAACATCGTTTACTCTAATGATTATCATAGTTATGGTCTGGAGAAGAGAGGGCATCACCCAGCTCAAATTACAAACACTTTGTACTTGTTTATTTGTGTGTCCACATTCCCATACTTTTAAAGTATGTTTAGAATCTGATGAAGCACTACATCCACCAAGCACAACAGTGAAAACAATCTATCCACCCCCATATGAAATAACAGTGCACAAAATATATATAATATAACATAATATAATATGCAACAACAACAATTATTATTATTATTATTAGTTATTGTGAACTTTTGTAATAATAATTTAGAAATGTTGATAACAACAATAATAATAATAATAATAATATAACAACAACAATTATTATTATTGCCTTTTTAATATTAATTGAGAATTGTTAATAATTTTTTTTAAATTTTTAAAATCTTTTTAAATTCAAGCATATCATATTTTCATCAATAGCATGCCTTAATTAAAATATTTAATTGTCACCATGATGTGTTTTTGTTGTTATTGATGAAAAAAATCACAACTAAAATTAACAAACATTTTTCATCAGTAATTTTGCTGTTGAGATTAAGAACAATGTCCTGTCAAACACAAATTACTTTTAATAAATGTTATTAAAATATATGGGTGGGTTGCACCAATAAGGATTAATTTTAAATCCAGATTAAATCAAGGTTTATCTAATAATTCTGTTGCAGCAAACTTTAAACCTTGTTTTAAAATAAGTATGTTTACATTTAAACCATCATCTTGATCCTGGATTTAATTTATATTTAAGATAGATTAACTTCGTTGCTCCATAACTTTAAACTCAGATTTAAATCTCAATTAGGGATTAATTTTAAATTTACAGGTGAAGAGGTTTAAATGAAATAAAGTGCACATACAGTTACAATTATGTGGCTGATTGAACAAAGAAAACAATAGAGGGTGTGTCGTGAGGTGTTTATCACAAATAAAAATGAAAATTAAAGCGCATTGAGCCGGCATATTGTGAGGGTCTTGGTAGCCTGTAGTAAATTTGCGTCTGCTATCGAGTCCGGTATGTGAATACGTCACTCATCTCGGTGCATCTCAGCGTACGACAAAGAAAACAGAAATATACTGTAGCCTACAGCATTTAATTGCAGCGGTGATGATGAAGTGAGCGCCAGTGATCGCGGCCGCGCCTCTCGTTTCATACACCCGCTCCACGCACGCTGCTGGGCGGCGATCAAACGGACAGGGCGCCGAGGTCCACGAATCGTGCCAGTTGTTTTCTCTTATCTCGGTTGTTTTGTTATAAGATATACTTCATTATTTGATACTATAAATATATTTCCAGGATTATGAAATCCGTATGCACTGCCTAAATTGCTTGCTTGATCAGCCGTTTGAATAACAGTCTCTACATAGTTAAAACGGCAGATATTTGACAAATGTATTTCCTTCATCGACAAAAGAAACTTATGTCAGAAAGAGAGTTTGGTTGTCAGCAAAGAAGGATAAGGAATATTAACATTGTTCCTGTTTAATTGCAATGGCGAATCCATCATGGCGGAAAAAATTAATCGTAGATGAAGGTTTTAATTGCAAATTAGAATTCTAATCCCCGATTTGTTAATCTGTGTTTAAAATTAAGTGGTGCAACACAACTCGATTTAAAACACAGATTAACAAATCGGGGATTAGAATTCTAATCCCCGATTTGTTAATCTGTGTTTAAAATTAAGTGGTGCAACACAACTCGATTTAAAATAAAACCCAGATCAACAAATCCTTGATTAGCTCTAAACTTTGCTTAAATTAATCCTTGTTGGTACAACCCACCCTATATCTCCCTTTAACTGTGAAGTATGAACATGAACCTGAACGTTAACCAATGTTGAGAGTGTTGAAGAAGCAAAATATCAGAAATATTTGAAATGGCAGGCAATTCAGTGCTGAAACTAGATTAGGTCCAGGCTGGTTAGTGCTGGTTTTGTGTTTTTAATATTATTATTATTATTATTAACATTGTTGCTGTTAATATTATTATTATTATTACTATTATTATTGTGAACTTTTTAATAATAATTTAGAAATGTTGATAATAATAATAATAATAATAATAAACTATTTATTATTATTATTATTGTTATTAAAATGTCTTCTAAGACATCTGTGTGTTTGCCTACTGTTTTGCATACCTTACTCCTTTGACATACTACGTTTTGCTATTTTTCTTAATTTTTTACCATTGCATATTCAGACACATCTTTTGTGTGCACTCAAAAGATCATTTAGTTCCTATTTGGAATCGAAGTAGACAGTAGTTGACATTACTATCAGTGACTTGGGGCATTCACTAATTAACAATGAACTTCAAGCAGCTACAGCTAATCAAAAACTTGTTAACCCACACGAATACCAGAAAATGTCAAATGAGCAGGAAACAAGGCAGAATGAAAAAAAAAACCAAAACAAAACAAAAGTCAGTAGCTGAGAACTGTGTCGGCAACGTTTGCTTAAGAGAGCAGCCAGACCAGGCAGCTCCACACACACCCAGCCTGGAGTACAATCCCATTTGTTTGAGTAACTACAGCTTAGAGCGACTCACGATCGCTTGAACAATCAAACCATTCTAATCTCCCTGCTTGGCTCCAGGTCTTGGCATTAGTGCAGATCTTATGTTTGTCATGTGAGCATCATGTCGTTCGAGCTCTGAGCCTCACGCTGCAATTCCGAGGAACGACGCCTTTCTTAAAGTATTTGATTAGATGGAAATCCTTCCGAGGAGAATAAGGGCATGCCTATTTGTGTGTGTTTGTGTGGGCTCTTATGATTTATTTAATGTTTTATATACCTCATCCTAATAATACAAGAGCAAGGCCTTTGTCATAAATAATGCAGCTTGGAGGATTGAAGGTAATCTCTGGGAATTCTTGACCCAGAAAGCAAAAGGAGATTTCAGAGGGCCTGAGATTATAATAAGAGAAAAGACAATGTAAACAATGGAGAACGCACAAGAGAGTGGATTAATAAATGTCACTGAGGACAAAACTGTATGCGTGACAGTGACCACATTTACATACACATTTATGTAGTAATTTTTAACCAGTTCATTCTAAGTATTACATCAAAAAAGATGGCACACTAAGGACAATAGAAAGTACCTCACCTTTAAAAAAGGACTATTTAGAGTGAAGGTACTTTGATATATACTACATTACACTGTATTTTTTTCCCCCTAAGTTGTAAATAAAAGATTAAAGGAGTATGTTTTCTTTTTATTAATTTACTAGCAATGTCTGTGTGAAAATTGTTTTGAAGTAAATCCTACACCAAAGGTTTTCATTGTACTAATGATTATCATTATCATATATGCCATGGTATTTATATGATATCAGTACTGAAGTATTAACATGGTATATAAACAAATAAACATATTTTACCCATTACAATTTTAATTACAGTGTGTTTGAAGGTAATTGCTGTGCTACTATTGGCACCAAACTCATAGTCCCGCCCCCAAAGTCATGTAATTGGTTGAGTGAATGCTGCTCATACAATTTTCATAATCATTTTCTTTGTCTTGCGGTCCATTAAAAAAATATAAACAGTTTGTTGGCAAACAGTTTCTCATACTTTTATTACTTCTCATGGTTTTCATGCTTTAAGCACAATTCTAGATAAACTTCTTGAGGTCCATGCAAAAATTATTAAAAAATACATGTTATTCAAGATGTTGAAAAAACAATTGAAAATAAATATTCTAAAGGCCCGTTCACAGCAAGAACGATAACTATAAAGATAACAATAAAGATACAGTTCTAAAAATCGTTCTCAATATTAAAGAATAGCAGGGTCCACACCACAATTATAACAATGAAGGCACAGAGAAACAATATCGCTGGAATCACTTTCAAAATATTTTTTTTCCAGCTGATGAACGATAAAAACACAGACAGCCAATCAGAATCAATCCTGCTGTAACAAGCTAGAGAATTTAAAGCGGCAGACGCGTGTGCGCTTAGAATAAATGGACGATATCGTCCGCTGGTGTGGACGCTAATATAGTTATCTTTATAGTTACCATTTTTGCTGTGAACGGGCCTTAAGAATGTTCTGAAAACAGGTTTTAAATATTATTTAGATATTTCACTGGACAACAAGTCCAATAAAAGATATTTGAGTTTAGATATTTTACAGTACAAAAATACTGATTATGAAAACTGTATTTTGCAGTGTAAGAACCTTGCCTTATTGTGAAATTCCTCATTTCTGGGTATGAGGTTGATTTTAATCAAGCAATTTTTTAGCTCTTCTGCTCTGATTCGAATTTTGGCTGGAATCAGTCCAGTTCCAGGTATCTGAGTAAGGTATAAAAAGACAAAACAACAAAGCTCTGATAACTGTGTCCATGTTGGTAATTACGGTTTGGTTGGCTCATGTTCATGGACACCTGCAGTAATTTGGCTAAACAGCCATGAGCCTCAAGTAAGATGAGGGTTAAATGCCTTGGAGCCGGATTTGTGTTCATTATTATGCACATTATACACACATATTACCGCATTTATTCGGCGAGCATTTTCACATTCTACTGGGCGATTCGTTCGCAGCAGTGTTCCTTGAACTCTCTGGCCTTTCAAGCTTGGTTTAGACAGCTGTGATTACTCTGGGGCTGCCACTTTTGAGAGTCGTCTGATTGAGGGGAAAAAACAAAATGCTGTGCCATTGAAGACCTTGAAAATCTATGCTCTGATTCGAGTTTTGGCTGGAATCAGTCCAGTTCCAGGTATCTGAGTAAGGTATAAAAAGACAACAACAACAAAGCTCTGATAACTGTGTCCATGTTGGTAATTACGGTTTGGTTGGCTCATGTTCATGGACACCTGCAGTAATTTGGCTAAACAGCCATGAGCCTCAAGTAAGATGAGGGTTAAATGCCTTGGAGCCGGATT